GCTAGACTATTCGGCATTTCTTGTCAGGATGTCATAAACATCCCTCATATAAATTTCTTAAATGTGTGACGGAGTTCACATGGTGCTACCATTTAACGAAAAAAGTCGCTAAATATGTAGATAATAGTCATATGCAACTATCCTATAAATTTTAAATTCGAAAATTTGGTCAAACACGGCAACAAGGGGTCCATATAAACTCTGTCACATTTTTATAGTGTGACAAAGTTTACAACTCACTGCCGGCCGCATTTAAGCGATATCTTATCGTCTGATAAAGATATCGTTATGCGACAAAATTTATCTAGAGGATGAAACGATTATCCTAACCATTGAGGGTTTATATAGTTTTATAGTGTGACACATTTTACATCATCGTGCCATTTAGTAGGGTCACTAATATTTACCAATATCCTCAAACTTCAATGAACGTGTCCTTAAACCATTAAATTAACTAGGAAATTCAATCCTCAACTTAACTCTTACTGTTTTAAACTGATATGATGATATTAACTTAACTTATTATTTTTTTACATACTCCTTCTTAGTGTGGTGACTGGTGACTTGGGGTCCATAAATATAACAATACAAGCTGATAAACCAAAAAGAACAACTGGGGTAGGTAGGTAGCTCTGGTGGGTGCGTAAACTTTACGGTCTGCTCTCTCCAAGATCAGCCTGCTTCTCCATTTTACCGTGAAGCCTAATTTCTAGTTTTTATAAATACAATGCAAGTGCAGGTTTACTAATCTTAAGGGGGGGGGGCCAATGGATATATTTTTGTGAAACTTGATTTCGAGATAGCAGTTGACCAACAAACTAGGACCAGTGACCGAACTTTTGAGGGGGTCCCGGACCCCAACCGCCAAACGGTGCCCGCGGGGCAGCCACGCCTATATTTGGTCCAAATTAGGCCCAATTTAGCCAAATACTCTGAACATGCCCAAAACCCAAATTTTAGGTGCTCTACTTGTAGCTAGTGGTCTCCTGAACTCGTATATGAAATTTCATCAAGATTGGACAAAAAATGACTGAGTTATGAGCCAAAAACCATATGCCCATATTTGGGCATACGCACCAAATTTGGTAGATTTCGTCCCATAAATTGGTCAAATATCAATATTTTTCACTGAAACTTACTTTATATGAAAGGTAAGCCTAAACTACATATTCTCTGTAAGTTATAGCTTTATATCTGTTTAAATGTGGATACTAAGGCGAAAAGACCACAAAAAATGAACTAAATTGCCCATATCTTGGTTCGCGATATTCGCGGAATTGATCTCATTAAAATTGTAACAACTCAATCAGTTTTCAAAATTTTTCCATGAAATTTTCGGAATCGACTCGAAATCGCATTTCCACCTTAGTTTGAGAACAGATTTTTGATTTAGGCCTCCAAAAAAATTTGGCGGCCAAATTCCAAAATTTTCCCGGAGAAATTCAGTGATGCAATAGGAAGAGCACAATCAAATTTTAAGTGTTGCAATTGGCAGAGCACAATTCATTGCTACCAATAATTTTTAGTCAATACAGCACCACACACAACTACAATTTGGACATGCGTCATCGACAGTGAGCCGCTCGTACCGACTTTAGGATGGTTTTTAAAGCTAATTTCGGCCAGCAAAATTAATTCAAAAATTCTTGAAACAATTACATATTGAGTAATTGGTAATATAACTTTCCCTCGATCCAATTATAACAAAAATTGGTTAGCTTACTGATAGACTTACAAAAAAAACTTCCCAAAAACGTTTGGGCATATTTAATCATCAAACATTTATTTACCAAGTTTTTCGGAAAGTTTATATTTTACAATTAGAAGGTCCTTACGAATTTTTAAAAGGATCCCATTCCATAAACCAAAAATATGACAAAATGATACGACGAAAATTAATGAATTTTGTCAAATTACGCCACTTTGACACGTTCCCTGTAGCTCCAAAAGCCGCGCGTCATTAAATATTGTACCACTGCATGAAACTCACTATTCATTTCAAAAATGTATCATGCAGACAAATTTGGTAATGTGAAAAAGCTCACACTCTTTAGAAAACAATGGTACTTCATCATTCATGAATCAGAATTCACATTTTGTAATGTAATCTAAATCCCATAATGCCATATTTAATGTCAACTGTGTCAGAATACACGTACGTCTAAAATAAATCATTAAAAATATAAATCCAAGCCAAATTGATAACACAGCTATGATATATAATAATATATAAAAAGAATAAATGAAAAACTTTGGCGCCGCGCTAATTCTCGTACGTATATGGTATACACCAGCTCAGCACACCACACTTTAAAAATCGAGCGCTACACTAAAATTGGTTCGACTTCATTATGAGGTGTTCGTGCTTACAGATTTTGGTGTCATTGTTGTTGCTATCTTTAAATGTACTTCGATCTCGTTTACAGTGCACTTTGATGTTTAATACATGTGCACACAATTTCGACGGCGTTAAGGTGGTTCCTGCTATGTGTTGGTTCAGCCGAATTGATTTTTATATTATAATCATCATTTTCATATTTTAAATTAATTAGTTGAATTTGACCCAACCTTTATAAGATTTCGAATCGTTGTTTTACTTACAACTTGATCGTGTTTAATGTTCATGAGCTCCCACAGGTGTGAGTGCAATTTGAGATGGCCCTTAAGCGTGCAATTTAATATTCAAATCACACATCGCCATCAGGCCTTAGCCTCTACGGCTCATACATATGCACTGCTCCTAAATAATGTACAATATATAATACAGTGCAGTGCTCTACATGTACTGTGTACTGAATGTTCGAGATCTTTTGGCAGATTCCCTCTCCACCTGCTCTCAATCATGGATTCCCCCTATCGTTTTTAAGTCCCCAGTTTGGTATGAGATTGAACTTATTCTCCAAAATTTTTACGACATTTTCGTTTTAATTTAAATTTTCTACAATCTAAATTAGATTCAAACCAGCTTTTTCTTAACCTTGTAATAGTGTGATAGGTCCACAAGGTGGGATTATGTTATTGTCTAGTACCTAATTGCAATAATAATTTTAGAAGATTCACTAAGTTCCTGATCATTCTGCTTAGTCGGACGCAGGCATTGCAAGAAGACCTTAAAGTGTACAAGGCACCTACTTGGACTCTGGGTCTCGAACTTGCAATCGTCCAATTACAAGTTCCTTCAAGTGGTCACAACTCATGGCCTCAATAACAAAAAGATAAAATAAAATATTGAATAAATTACATTCAATTTTAGCAATGGCCAATTGGCTGACTATAAGAAAAACCTGGTTTTTTGACGATTTTTCGAGGTCCAAGATTTTTAAAATCGAATAAAAAATGTTTAAAGGCCTATCTCAAAATTTTGCCTTGACAATCCCTTCTAAATGATCCTTAGAACATATCCTGAAAGTTTGAGGGTGATTGCTCAAAAAATGTAGGAGAAGATAGATTTTTAGACTCGATTTTCAGGGCACGCGATCAAAAATCGCTCGCGCAATACAATTACACACAAGCGCTGACCTTTTACCGGCGATAATTTCGGCTAGGAACAATATTTTTCTATTGGATTAAAAGCATCTGATAGATATCACCCCCCCTCTATCAGAAACAACTAAAAAGTCGATTTTGAGAAAATTTCCATGAAGACCCCCCCCCCCCTGCCCCCTTAAGACATCCATTCTGCATTGTGTTTCCAATATTAGAATTTATGATATGTATTGATTGAATAATTGGTAATAAATTTAACTTTTGTTTTATTAACTTTTGTTTTATTATACTTGCTTGGTATATCCTATGTATGACAAAAGTGAAAATAATTTAGGCACACACTTGAACAGAATTTCAATAGGTATATGATCAAGATCACATTGCTTTTTTCTTATGTTGGATGTCAATTCTTCATCAGAGACAAAGGCAAAACTGGTCACAAGAAAATACACTTGAGTTAATGAGAGGGTGCAGCTTTCTCTAAATCAATCCAGTTGAAGAATTCCTTCACATTGTGATCAATCAGTGAGATCACCCTTCCTGGACCCAAGACACCAATACTCTAGTCTGGCTTGTCTAAGTATCACACTTCTAGTTAGCAAAGTTTCTTTTCTTGTTTATACAGAAGCAAATTAAAAGAGTTTTCTTGTCCATCGACTGTTAGTCTTTTTAAAGTATGACTAGTAAGCCATTGCATTTTTAAATATTGGTGTAAAATGTGTACATCACAATTTCTTTAACTAAGATGGATAATGGGTATCCTCTCAACATGTCATGTCCATTTCAGGTATTGATGGGATCACAAACATACTTAAATTTGGTCCAAGATAAAACACTGTTTCATCAAATTTTTAGGATTGTATCCAAAAATTTTAGATGAAACACTGGAGCTCTATTGGTCTGCACTTGGGTTATATTCCCAATGCCCCATACCTTAAAATAGTACCGTCACTGTATTATAAATTGATCACATTTTTTTAAAAGCATTTCAGAAATCGTATTGATTCAGTCGACTTGTACTTTTGATCATTGGTATTATAACCATAAAAAACTATTTTTACAACTACAATTAGATACATTAGCTGAGAAAATTAATATGGTGTAGTAACATCAAAAGGGTGAACAGTTTCCTTTATCTGAAAAAAAAAACCAGTTTCCCTTTCCAACTGTAAACATGATCACAACAATGTGACTCAATGTGAAAATAACGTTCCTACAGGGATATTACATGACCATAAATGGGACATAGATCTGCCCCGAAACATCTGCATTTGTCTTATTTTCTTTGTATTTTCGAAGCACATTATGGATTGGGTACGAGATATTATTCATCTATTTATAGCTAAAAGTGAAGTTTGTCATTTATTTATGGTAACTATTCACTACTCAAGTTTGTATGTACATTTTACTTGTCCTTAGGTTTTCGACATTTATTCTATTTATAAAATTATGCCATCTTTGAAGGTCATGACTAATGATATGATTACAGCAATCGAAATACTTACCATAAATATATTCTAGCTATAACACACTGCAAAATGGAACAGTTTGCCGAGACAGAGCCAGCAGCAACCAGGACTACATCAGGAATACCACTCAAAGACCCAGACTCTATTAAGCTATTTGTTGGACAGGTAAATCCAGGGATTAAAATATCATGATATGAACACATATACATCATATTCACTTCATATTTCCTGTCAAATGATTATTTTGATCTGTATCATTTTCCCTTCTTTTTACCATAATATGTATCCATGATTTCAGGTCCCCAGATCTATGAATGAGAATGAACTGAGACCCATTTTTTCTGAGTATGGCCAACTATATGAACTATTAGTGCTACGTGACAAGGCATCAGGCAATCACAAAGGTTTGCCTTTAATGGTTGCCTCTCATAGAATAATGTTATTGATGTGTTTAAAATTAGTATCACAGTTGAAAGTATAGTATGAATATTTGTCTACTCGATGTGAAACTACAAGCGATTATTCTGTAATATCAAACCTGTATGGAGCTGCCGATCCAATAAATGTCATTTAATTTAGTAAGCTACTTTTGTAATAGGGCATTTATAAATCCATGTCAAAATCATGCAGTTTGGAGTTGCCTAAATTATCAATCTTGTGCATAAATGTTTTACAACGCTTCTTAGCTTCAATATTACTCTATTATAGATATTGTAAATTGTTGTAATCCTTATGTCATGTACCCTAGACTTGTTATTTTGTAGGTTGTGCGTTTGTGACGTTCTGTACATTGGAGTCAGCTGAAAAAGCGCAGCGTGCATTACATGGCAATAAAGTTCTGCCCGGGGTACGTTTTGAGCTGCACCGCGAGTTAAATTCACTTACTTTATTCATATTATGTGTCCATTCGTTTTCGTGTGCTACTATTATATATCCTAGTTATTCCTGGATGCATTGTGCTGTGGTTTTGCTTTGTTTATTCATTTGGACTGTCCTATGTTTTAAATGTCTCACGATTTTTTTCAACGTATTATGATCATCTATCATCTGAATCACCAAAACAAATATGACCACACCTGTTAATTTAACAAGTGCATTTGTCAGCCCACCATTATTAGATTCTAAACGAAAATCCCTTTCCCTAGATGTCGAGACCGATCCAAGTGAAACCAGCCAACTCAGACGACGCAGCAAAACTTGGTGAATATTTTTTCAAACCAATTTGTCTGCCAGTTGATCCCACTACACCAAATCTTGATTAAAACTTGAAAATAAATGAATAAAACAAACACTTATCTTTTTCCCAAACGTTAACTCAAAAATAAATGATCGCCAAATAGATGACAAACTGAATTTTCTGTTCTCTCAGAAAGAAAGCTGTTTATTGGTATGATCAGTAAACAGGCAACAGAGGAAGATCTTAATGGAATGTTCACACCCTTTGGTGAAATAGAGGAGCAGAGCATCTTGAAAGATTCAGATGGAAACAGTAAAGGTAGGCATCATATTTTAACATCAGTAACTTCGATTAGCATACAGAGTCGAGCATGCTCAAAATATCATGAATTATGCTAACGTTTTTAAGATGAAACATAATATTTAATCTAAAAATAATGGCAACATGCCAGAATGAAGCGATCATCATATTTCACATAACACCCATATTTCAATGTCTGTTTAGAACTGTTCTTTTTGTAGTTGATGATCCATTCATTGAACAAGCCTTTGTAATCTCGGAATAAGTTAGACTCACTTTTTCTTGGTTCCTTTTTGGTGCATTTCGGTATGGGTGCTGGTTTTTTTGAGTGAAGTCTCATTGTGGGATTTGATGATCCCATTGTAGGATCTGATGATCCTGCTGCTGCTGAGAATCCTGGAAAATTAATAATAATAGACAAAATGTCTAGAATTTTACTTTTCTGTCGCAAATTTCAGTGTTTAGTATGATCAGATAGGGACTAAATTTAGCTGCATCGACCGAAAATTTTACGAGGATTGGTCTTTTTTGAACATTTAAAATTTAATATTGGACCAAACAGCCGTCGAATTGGAAAATCAATTGTTTACCGTCGCTATCGAAAAATAACAGCCAATATGCGCAGTTATTTTTGAAGTAGTAAATTGTAAAGAAATGATCAAATGATACCGCTTATCCTCTTGAAATTAATGTGAAATTAAAGATCATTTATCGTCCAAATAAAACCGCATTGCGCGGCCCGTTTATTCATTCCTGAACTAAGTAGTAAATTACATTTGCATAACTGCAATAGTAATGTAATGATATAGGAAGAGCATACGACATACCTGCCACACCTCCACTCTGGAAACGTTCCTCAGCTCTGTCTTCAGAGAATTTAACCAGCCCTTTTCTCAACAAAAACCCCTGTCCTTTGTGGAAGTCTTCTAGTAGATCCTGCTGAGTTTGACTGAGAGCCACTTGAACTATTACTGATGTTAGGACAAATGCTGCTGAGGGGGAAAATGTTCAATTTGGCAATTTTCAAGTCCTATATTCATAAACACAAATAAATGCCAATCAAACGATATAATAGATTCATGATTCACAAATTATAAGTACTTCAATTGTTCATGTTGCTAGGCTAAAATGTTGGTTGTCAAGTTGAAACCCCAATCAGGTCCAGTACTAAATGGTTGATAATGAAGCTGGTTTATTTTAGCCCTATAAGCCATGCAGCGTGTAATTGGTAGTTACCCAACACTCTACTAAGGGTCATCCTACTTTACACGCCAAAAGACAGGAGACCGAAAAGAGCTAAGCACCCAAGAGAGCCTGGTACACACAATTCACAGTCTAGAATAAACTACAATTTTAAAACTGGGAGGTCAAATTTCAAACCGTAAACTCAGCGGTAAATACCAGCTACAAGGCATATCATTAATTTACCAATAAGAAGGGAAGAATTCGTCATGGCTGGCTGGTCGTTGTGTCTTCTGCTCTGGACTCAACACAAAAAGTACTGCTGTATACTTTGAGTACACAACTTTTATAGGCTCCCCCAACCAGGTGTTGGCGGTGATCTGATAACTGATTCATCAGAGAATTACCGCTAAAATTACAGTTCCACTTACGGCAGACCGAAAGTCCAATCTACCACTTTTTTGCTCACCACATTCTGTTTTATTAGCTACGTAATTTGTTTCCACCCGTTTGCTACCCTATTTACAGTCACCTGCATGTGCTTAGCTGGTTTATTAAGGAGGCCGCCCTTTGATTTTATAATTTCCACAGCTAGTTAAATGTTCCGTTAACTAGTGGTTTTATAATATTATGTATCTAAATTGTATCTGGCGGAATTTACAACCTGTAAACGTGCCGGTAGTTTCGTGATGGAGGTATTTATTTCTCCAGATTATAGGTCAGATCATCAATAACTGTACTTACCTGAGAATTATATTCATGTTACAGCTGATTACTGTAGTATAACCACTATACTAGTATCTAAGAGTTTATCAGACGGCGACGTAATCAGTTTCGAGATTTGACACTGAGATTTTGAAACATTCAAGAATTACAGATTTCTGATATAATCATAGGTGTTGACGCAAGCTAAGGTGAAGATTATTAGATTCTTCACTTCATGTTAGATTATTATTTGGTAGATCACACGTCTTTAGTAGAACATACGTATCAGAGTGTGGTAGAACACACGTCTCAGAGTGTGGTAGAACACACGTCTCAGAGTGTGGTAGAACACACGTATCAGAGTGTGGTAGAACACACGTATCAGAGTGTGGTAGAACACACGTCTCAGAGTGTGGTAGAACACACGTATCAGAGTGTGGTAGAACACACGTCTCAGAGTGTGGTAGAACACACGTATCAGAGTGTGGTAGAACACACGTCTCAGAGTGTGGTAGAACACACGTATCAGAGTGTGGTAGAACACACGTATCAGAGTGTGGTAGAACACACGTCTCAGAGTGTGGTAGAACACACGTCTCAGAGTGTGGTAGAACACACGTCTCAGAGTGTGGTAGAACACACGTATCAGAGTGTGGTAGAACACACGTCTCAGAGTGTGGTAGAACACACGTCTCAGAGTGTGGTAGAACACACGTCTCAGAGTGTGGTAGAACACACGTATCAGAGTGTGGTAGAACACACGTGTAACGGAGATTTAAATATCCTTGAATTCAGGCTTTAGAAGAGGAATAAAGGAGGTATAATCCTTGTTAAATGATAGACCACAGATTTTCCAAAAGATTAAGAAATATATTGCCGTGATTTAATCTCCTGTGACCAGTGAATCAAGTAGTGTACATACTGTATACGTACGGATATTATGAAGGGTGGGAGCGATCTCAGCCAGAGATTCGTGCCCTCGACATCGCTGTACCCTCCGGATGTTTTAAATCAGGAATTTGTTCCAATAGTTTTGGATTTCTATAGCAAACAAGCAGAGACAGGTGCAATTTTCGCCGAATTCCTGTTCGAATTATACTTCAACCAGCGAACATTTTTTGTTTTAAACAGAGAGTATTATAGTTTGATGACAGAGAAATAAGGCTAACCCAATTAACAAATTACTTCCGAGACCATGGTAATAACCTAATAGATATACAAATACCTATCCTCGGTGCACTTATCCAGTAGAAAAAAAGTTTTTCGCAAATGGAATGCGCAAATTCGGATACCGCCTGTTTAACTAAAAGTTTAAACGTTGTTACCAAGTTCCGGCCAGCATTTTAACATATATTAAGTCTCCACCAGGCTCCAAGAACCACAGATATCAGGATTCAGGCTAGATGGTCCTTGGTTTAGAGGCCAGCCATAGTTAAACTCCAATTTTTGTCTCCTGATATGTCAGGTATGCGCATATTGTAGTACGAGTATTGTGTCCCACTGGGTAGAATTAATTAAAAGAGAGAGGATATATCGAGATAATGTGTTGACATTTCCCCCAATTAACCCTTCTCCCTGACTGAATTTGCACGTGCTTTGATCTAGTTATTGGACCGGTAACACGTGCACATTCCTTCAGACAGGAGGGACGGACGGACGGTGTCCACTCCGCCGCCTCCCCTGTTAAAGCGTACTGCAATCCTAAGACGTGTAGTGTGACGTGGTTCAAACCTCTGATACATACCTAAGATAAACTAGAGCTCCTCTTCATGGAATTAAAGCAAAGATTAGAGAAAACGTTTCTCGTACTTAGTTAAGATATATTCAAACATTCGTTTAATGTAAGATTGGCTGACCTTTCATTTGATCAAAGTGTGTCAGTTATTAAGAGCAGCTGAATAGAATATGGTTCTGTTAATCTTATGGTTAATGTACATTCACTGACCATTTGCATATAGAAGCCCTGCATATAAACCAATACTATTTCTCGTATAATGCTGATTGCTGAATCTTTCTATGGAATTGAGTCAGAGCAGTCGTACTACAGAACGTTGATTAATTGCCAGGGGCCCGCTCCCTCGTAGTCCTGACCATCTTCTGGCATATACAACGTCCGCTATATCCCCAATCTTCAAAATTAGAATTTCAAATCAGACCCGTGACGCTACCTGTAGCTGTGGGGAATAGATTGTGAACTCTTTATATGGTCTCTGTACATCAGATCTAAGATGTGATTTGTAGAGATAGAGTAATCATAGCAAATTTGCTTCCCCGAGTCGAGCTCCGTATTACCACAGCTACAGGTCACTCAAACCGTTAGATTAGTAACAATTCGGAAAAAGATCAATATAAGATAGATCAGTAGGGTGGGTGGGCTTTGGTGTGGACACTGAATATATTCATCTTCTCTCTTAGCATTACTATATTATCATGGAGTCAACAAGAGATATTATCTATTGTACTGTCAATCCTATACATTTTAGAAATAACCGTTGGTGAATTATACAAATGATCATCGAATATGTGAAATATTATTGATGATTCTGCAATTTTTAATTATCAATAATTACTCAGTTTCATGAATTATGTAAAGCTTTGTAGAGGGAACGCCCTAAGTTATATTATATAGAATCTAAGGTGTTTAAATATCATCAAATAGGCTTCATTTATTGGCCCGTTCCTGATATTGTCAAATTGATTATGTCTGTACGACTGTTCCTTTCATTGTTATTATATATCCCTCCTAAGTTATAAATAGGACTTCAGAAAATCTCCAAAAGTCTTGTAGATCTGAAGCTGGACCCAGTTTAAAATTTGAAGCTAGTAGAAAGCTTTAAACTAGCAGTTGCATGAAAAAGTTTGCGCTTTTTAAAGACCGGTCACCGCTCCCTGCAATAATGGGTCAGCCCCCTGATTAGTACACGTGACTTCTCGAATAAAATGTGAAGTATTTTAACTATAATAATTAATAATTCTGCAATTTTCAATTATCATTAATTTCAGGGTGTGCGTTTATCAAGTTCAAGTCTGCTAAAGATTGCCACAAAGCTATTAGAGGCATGCACCACAGCCTAACCATGCAGGTAATTCTAGCTAATTCTAACTAATTCTAGGTAATTCTTACTGAACAGGTACTGCTTCAAGTTGTCGGCGTTACCCGCAAATCCTTCGACTTAGTTGTCAAAATTTTCTCTTAATATTTGGCTATCGATGTTGTAGGACTTTCCTATCAGACATGGGTATGTAGTATATACACTTTACAGGAATAACGCATGAAAAGGAAAAGAATTAAATTTAAGCAAATTGTTGAAATATCAAACTGTCAGGGCTGCAGTTCTCCAATAGTGGTAAAATGGGCGGATACAGACAAGGAGCGGGTGGTAAGGAGGCACCAGAAACTGACTGACGGTGGTTTCCCCAACTCTCCTGTTGATAATGTGGGACGAGGTGGACCCGGAGGACCTGGTGGACCTGGAGGACCCGGTGGACCTGGAGGGCCCGGACCCGGCGGTCCTTTCAATCAAAATATGGCTCCTCGCGTTGGTGAGATAATGTTTAGAAATTGTGGGGATTTTTGGTTTGGTGCTTATTTTCTTTTAGCCCTTATTATTATTAAGCTGAAATTTGTTATGCGAATGTGAGTACAGCACCCAAAATATGAGTAATATATAGGAGGGGTCGTGTATGTTAAAAAAGAAAGTTTCTGAAATGATTAATCCAATCTTTTTTCGTATTGTCAGTCAAATTCATTGAGGCTTACGCCCAGCGTGCAACAGCAGACTAGACTATTTATCATTGCGCTTACAACAAAACTGTCAATGATGTTTTAAGGAAACGTCGCATAATTTGAGGTCGGCTTGCTTAAATAATCAAGACCTTTCATAATTCGATCCCTCCAAATTAAGTCCGATAAGGTAAATTCTCTCATCGCCTTTAGTCGGTAGTCGGATAAATATTGTGGATTATTACATCAGTCATTCTGTAATTTTCTTCTTGCACTCTTGCAATACTGAACTAAGATTTTGAATATTGTTCGTGCTGTTTTGTCGCTCTTTCAACAACTTTCAGACGTTTGATTCCAGTATTAAATTGTCTGTTTTAAAGTGACATCTTCAAGCGACATGTATGTATTACATTACAACATGTCACTGAATCTTGCTCCAGCACCGTTTCAAGGAAACACTCATTCCACGAATATATGTCGCGCGTAACGAGTCACAACCAGGACTAACCCCTCTCTGTCTCTCTCCCTCTCCAGGACTAACCTCTCTCTCTCTCTCTCCAGGGTATAACATGATGAACCAGCCTCCACCCAGCAACATGTCTCCCGCTCCACCTCCCTCCTACAACAGTAACGGTTCAGCTCTCCTCACTGCCATCACACCTCTTCTACACAACCTGGCCGCTCAGTCCAATCCTGATAGTAAGTTATATTTAGAAACTTTAATACTTCATTAACTTTTATTAGTGCTATGGAACTGTGGCAGGTTATGGCCAGAAATTTGATTTAAATTCAAACTTTGACTTTTTTAAAGTTATGAATTTGTCACTGGAAAACCACAACTGTATGGTTTTAACTTTTATGTGTAAGCCATACTTCAATGTTTCATTAAATTTTATTAGTTTAGTGAAAGTGTGGCAGCATATATTCAGAAATTTGATTAATTCCAAATCTAAATTCTTTGAATTTATGAGTTTGCTCACTCAAACCGCAATTATAATTTTTGACGTTTTAGAGTTCAGTCGAATCTTGACTGTAATTTTTTATTTTAACTGTTTTTTAGGCAAATGTAATAGCTTACAAACGGAAAATCTAGCCTGTGCCACACCTAAAATTACTGAAATCGAATGCCTTAAATTTATGTACATTTTTGCACGGTGGTCTGGAACCAGCCATTAAGCTATTACTGTACAGACTAAAACTTAAATTTAGAATTGATTTTCTGCGATATTTTACATTTTCCCTCATCAGGAAGCTCGACCACAATTTTAACACTTTTATCATTGTGGTTATGATAGTGTTTGGTATTTGAAAGGTGTTGACATAACACCTTTCAAAAACACATCACAATATAATCATCTGAACTCTTAGCTCGTCATATAGCGAGCTGTAAAAGTTTAGTCTTTGGACCATTATTATATGCATCGTCAACATTGCGTATTTGACATACCTAAATCGATGAGCTGAAAACCTACCCAGGCACTAAATTTCAAAAATACTTACTTTAACGTACAAATGACAAGAATTCTTCATACTTCATAAATATCTCATGTTTGTTTGCGGCGTATCAACAAAATCTTTATCGTATTTAAAGCCTTGAAGTGAATCCATGAAATTAAAATGACTCACCTGGAATTATTCTTAAATGCCATTCTCAATTTAAATGGAATCTATCTACGTATTTAATAAGATATTATCGTCTGAGCATTAGAAATGCCGAAATGGCCCCACCCTTTAGCTCCTTGGTCCTGACATGATTCCAAAACTATGATCTGGACTCCTGGTTCTCAAATTACTAAATATTCTGCTTGTCAACCGTTTATTTTCTCATTATTACCCCTGAGATCTGCCCCTTAGCATTGTAAACTTCTCCAGGCTCCATGCTCCCATATATTATATACTCCACTAATACAATCTTAATGAAATGAGAAGATTATTCACCAGCTTGTACGCCGTGTGATACCACGATTATATGATTTTCAAGTGACGTGTTAAATGGACCAATTTGTCGGAGCTAGCTGACCCTGAAAACAAAAGGGAGTCCTCAGTTGGATAGGTTATAAAGGTGGTAATATTTGGGTTATCGCTTTAACTGATAGGTAGATCACAGTCACTATTCTTTAGGATATGACTAAGAGTTCCTTCAAGTACAGTTTAGGACGGTTATAGCGTCAGGAGACTCCACACAGACAGGAAGGACGTTTTTAAAAAGCTTTGAATCTACGTAAAAGTAAAAATAGCCGTATCCGGATTAACTTTTAGTACTTATTGATGAATTACTAAAGTTTTATAATCAAGTTTGTCTACTTCAAGAAAATGACTATTATATTATGTATAGTTATGGTTTTGGTTGGATTTATCCAGAGACAGAAGTGCTCGATACAAAGTCAAACAACGGGTTAACAAACTTAAAGTTTCGTGCTATTATTACTGATGCAATCATACACATACAATTCATACATGCTACATGAAGAGGTCTCCTCCTAGTCGTTGGAGTGGCCTGCTGCATCACAAATTCACACACATCCCTTGTACGGCGTAACAGATTCCTCCATTCCACTCAGTTCAGTGCTAACATCAGTGCTTAAAAACTGTTAAAACTACTTCATCCATCCTTTTCCTGGTACAGACTCCTTTATAGAACAACTAAACTAAATCAAAACAAAATATTCTGAAAAGTCCTAGAATGAGCATTTGTTTAACACACATTAACACAATAACAAATTTGTGTTAAACAAATGCTCATTCTAGGACCTTTGGGAATATTTTGTTTTGATTTAGTCTAGTTATTCTATAATATAAAGGAGTCTGTACCAGGAAAAGGATGGATAAATTAATTTTTAACAGTGTTTAAACACTAATGATTGCATCAGTAATAATAGCATGAAACTTTAAGTCTGCTAACTTGTTGTTTGACTTTGTATCCAGCTCCCTCCGGAACGAGCACTTCTGTCACTGAAAAACAAAACGACTTCTTTAACTCTGAGAATTTTACAATTTGCCGACGTTTCGCAACATAGCGTCGTCAGGACAAAGGTTTTCCTCGTAACACGGGAATGTGTATTTGAACAATATGCGGGATCATTATAAAGTTATAAAAGAAGTTGAGTAAACAAGTCTCCAGCAGCAGCCCCTCCAACCTCTACCCTTTATGTAAAATATTGTAATTATACTACTTGTATACTTCTACAAAGACCATGATAAAAGAAGCACAGTAAAGGTCATATATTTTTTCTCCTCTAACAATTTTACAAATTGCCGACGTTTCGCAACATTTAGCTTGGTGAGGACTTGGTCCAGTGTAATAGGATTGGCCCTCTGACTATGGCAATTGGCAAGGCGTCATATCCACGCAACTACCCCGTTATTTTGTCCAGGTTCTACTGAAGACTTTCGGCGCCAAATGCAAGTAATAAGATCTACTAATCGATTAATTGGTCAATTGTAGCTAATTGGAAAGGGTATAATAGATTCGGATATTCGAATAACGATCTCACTTATTTTGTAGCGATGTTGTAATTCTTAGATCTGCAACGACAATTATAAGCCATCTTATAGGTGGTATTCTGTCACCAGTGAAAAGATAACGAGTTCAATTATCTTAAAATTATCTAATTCTCATTTCCTTCAAGTCTGCTAATTGCAAACTGCAGCTCACTTTACTAACTTTTAATAAAAACTCAACAGTTGTTGTCAGACCACTTCACTATTACCTATCAACAGCTCTAACTGTCTTTATTCTACTCATTGTTAACAGTGGTTAAATATAATATATGTTAATAAGTGGTTAAAATATAAGTAAGTGGTTAATTATTATAGTACACGTGGTTACAATATATTATGTAATATCAGTAGGTGTCCTGAGACCTTCCTGAAACTCAAGATGGCCAAGGTACGTGCAATTAAATGTCTAACCCGTCGGAACCATTAATAACAATTTCAACAAGGAGCACATATTTCAAGAATCAAGATACTGTTAGAGTTGAATCTTGATACCAGGGTCACGGAAGTAGGTCGGTGTTGGAACCTGACACCTTCCTGGTGAAGCCCTATTATAAGTACGGTATCTGTGAAGTGCAATCCGTTATAGCCCTTAATTTGGTTCTATTGGGACTCATTACCAAACGGCATGATACGAAATATTGGCTAGATTTCTCGGTGCTCAAGCTTGGCGAACTTATTGCTAACATCAGAGAAATGCAACCCACTTTGTCTAAAATTCAACATATTCGAAGCAACTTTTTTATCATTAGTCAGGCAAACAGAAAGATTCTGTGCAGTCATTATTAACAGATTGATTAACAGATTGAGTAATGTATTTTTGTTACCGGTGCGCTTTTTGATCATTCGCAAAGAGCGTGGTAAGCTTTACTACTACTTTACAGTTTACTAGTACTATACTACTTAATACGAGGTATACTATAAATCTATAAGCAGAGCGTTTCTCGGAACGTGGACATGTTTATTTGGTAAAGTACCAGCTAGATCATCATAAAAGAAGTAGAGGATAAGGGAGTAAGGTTGATCTAATTACGGGCTCTAGTCATTGGAAGGTATTATTTTCTAGTACAGTGGGTGTAGCATATCACGTGACTAGCCAGCTGCTGTCTCCTTTGTTACCAGAACACAACTACAACGTACAGTGTGTAGAACTAGGTGGTGCAGCTCTCTACACCACCCAGTTATTCTGACACCTGTGATAAAAGAATGCACTGTGCACACTCTAGGGAGTTACAGTACCTCTACCAGAGGGCAGAGAGAGAGAGAGAAAGAGAGAGGGAGAGAGAGAGAGAGAGAGAGAGAGAGAGAGAGAGAGAGAGAGAGAGAGAGAGAGAGAGAGAGAGAGGGAGAGAGAGAGAGAGAGAGAGAGAGAGAGAGAGAGAGAGAGAGAGAGAGAGAGAGAGAGAGAGAGAGAGAGAGAGAGAGAGAGAGAGAGAGAGAGAGAGAGAGAGAGAGAGAGAGAGAGAGAGAGAGAGAGAGAGAGAGAGAGAGAGAGAGAGAGAGAGAGAGAGAGAGAGAGAGAGAGAGAGAGAGAGAGTCAGTACTGAAAATGTAGAGAATGCACTGAGTATACGGTGCCATGGTCCTTGCCGTAAAGAATGTGCCAAGTATTCAGCGAGCTCACAAATACAGCTATTGTTATCAGAACAAAGTAATCATTACGATACACACTATTTGGAGCTGTATTATTATTATACCCGCCTCTTCTTCGCCATCTGTCTCCTTTACAGTTTACAGTGTACTTGGCCGGTTAGATTTCCATATATTATTATGGTGATGAGAAGCCTCCTCTCGTTGCGGCCCAGGTGTGTGGTTATTGTGGCCTGCAGGTGTATGGTTATTGGTCATGTGCGAGATTTGGGGGTATTTAGGGGGAGAAAGATGGTTAAATGGAGGAGTGACGGTGGTTACAGGTAACAACACCCTTAATAGCTTAATGTTGTCCACCTCTAATGACCGGCTCTAGCACACGCATGTGTTGTATCAGGTGATTTGTGATTATAGTAGGGGAACCTTGGGTGCCTAATCTGCTGTTTGGTAGTTTGTAGGAACCATTTAAATCACTGCTCACTAGAACCATTACCCTGTAATATAGAGGTGCGGAGAGCTGATTATGGAGACTTAGCTGAGGATGAACAACAGCTCTGTACAATTAGTTACTGTGATCATCTTCTGTTGGGAAAACGAATTGAGTTATTTTC